ATCACTATGTAAACTTTTAATTCTTACTAAATACTATAAATTATGCTTATAAGTAAAGTTGTAGCTTATATTTAGAGTTATAAAACAGTATATAATACTATATGTTGATTTTTAATCAAACTCGAATCAGACTCGAACTCGTATAATAATTCAATTCAAGTTTAGTTCGAACTTCAAACTTTTCTTGAACTTAAGTGAACTTGAACCTGAACAAAAATCCAGTTCAGTTCAGCTCATAGGAATACTAATACTTATATAATATACTAATACTTATATAATTTATATACAGAGCACTAACTGGAATAGCAATAGTGAAAAGTATAGTAATAAAAAAGCTTTATTAATAAAACTATTTTAATCTATCATAATTATAACATATAATTTTCTTAATAATAAACTTAACTTAATCTATTATTTCCTCTTATAACTATAAGAAGAGACTTGTTAAAAAATCTTTCGCTATATAAATACTGTTAAAAGAACTGGAATAATAATATTATCTTTATTATTATATTGATAATCAATATCAAAAACAAACAAAAGAATATTAAAAAATTAATAGTAATTAATAAATTATCTGATAATTTTTGAAAAATACTTATCTTTGATTACATTTAAAGCTAAAAATCAATTTGCAAAATTTTAATTTCTATTATTTTATATAGCAAGCATACAAGAAGATAGTTAAAAAATTAATTTTCATCATCTTGTACCTGATATTCAAATAATATCATCAGTCAATTGAAAAATAATTAGCTGATTATACTAAAAATTTTATTGATATTATTGATCAAAATGCATAAATGTTATTATTCACAGAAAAAATCCTTCATCAGATTTGTTGTAATTGTAAATTTTATTTTTGTAGCTTTTAACTTTTTTCTTGTTTAGATAAAGGCAAAATGTCATAGTAAATATAATAATTATATTACTGCTATTTAAAATATAATATTTTCAATTTTCAGTAAAGAAAAATTAACAAAAATCAATAATAATACTATCTTTATTCATCTAATAAAATAGAAATAAAATAATAAGATGCGAGATGCATATAATAAACTCTTCAAAAATAATTAAATACTATTAAATATTAATTATATAATCTTTAAATAATATAAAGAAAAAATACTATTAGTTATTTATTACATGTTCATATTAGCAATTAGCAATATTCTCCTAAATTCAGCATGTTCTAACATAAAATACAAAAACAAATCAGTAACTAGATATATATATATATTTATAATAAATAATTCTTATAACTTTGTTTAAAATTTGATTAAAAATTCTTCACAAATATTTGTTATTTAGAAATTAATTAAAAGTAATAAGCCAATGACTTAGATAATAATAAAGAATATAGCAAAAAAAAAATTGAAAAAGAGAAGAAAATGACCTGAAAAAATATCAAAAATTATACAAAAAAATCATTGAAAATGAAGAAAGAGATAAGGTAATTGAAGATGATAATAATATAAAGATGATGATTATGATAATTTTATAAGTTCTTTTAATATAATATTTTTTGTAATTTTTTCTTTGAAATTTAATAAAGAATTATTTTTCAAAAAAAAGATCACTGATTTAGACTGTATATATATATATATATATTTTTTTTTATTATTTTATTATCAATATTTATAATAAACTATATTTATTATTTTTTGAATGCCAAATTTTATTGTTCTGTAAAATTAAATAATGTTATTATAAAATATTATTATAAATATTATTACAAAGTTTTGCGCAGAATTTTTTTTAAAAAAATATTCTGTACAAATCTATATATTATTGCAGATTTATATAGAATTTTTATTTTTTTCTTTACAGATCACTATTAGATTTGAAAATCTTTGAAAAACTTCGAATTCAAAAATCTATACAAAATTGTACTCTCTAATATTATCTGATATTTATCATTTATTTTATCATTTATTTTACTTTTTACCATTTATTTTACTATTTATTACACTTTTTATCTTTCATTTTACTTTTATTTTTTTTTGTATAATTCTTGAATAATCATTTTACCTTTTTAATAATTATTATTATATTTTTGAAAAATATATAAATAGAGATGCTGTTTGAACCTTAACTTAATATGTTATAACTGAAAATAAAAATCTCTCTTAACAAAATCTTTTTTTAAACATTTTTTGTCTCTTTTATTTTCTTTATATACTTCAAATCTTGTGTATAAGTGATTTTATATTATATTGTACCTAATAAATTGCTAATGATTTTATATCATATTATATTAAACAAATCATTGTTATTAATTTTGGGCTTTAGATTGTATTGTACTGAACAAAACACTATTATTGAGCTTTATATCATATTGTGTTAAACAAATTGCTATATTGGAATTATTAAAATTTGATTTTAAGTATTTTAATTTTTGTTATTTAAATTTTTGATTATTAATAAATATTCCTCACTTATGAGAAGAACAAAGTGAAAAAATCTTTGTTATTGTTATTGCTAATTATATTGTCTTAGCTCTGGAAAGCTTTACACAAGTACAGAGAATTAGTCTTTTAAATCTCCTTTATTATTTATTCTTTTATTTTACACACTCTTTTCTCTTTTTACCTTTACTCTTTCATAACTTTTCCAAATTATTACTTCTTTTTAAGTAAACACAATTTTCATAAAAATTGGCATAGACTTTAGATACTCCTCTTTTTCTTTTAATATTTTTATCAGTCTATTACTCTCTCCCAACCCAGGTTCAGGTTTGTAAGCTAATTTAACAATTAGTGAACAAACTTGTAACAATATTCTGCAGATCCTGGAAAAAATCCTCAATTAATGATCGACATATGTTATCCTAATTTTTCACGCTTCCTTCTCTTCGTTTTTGTCCTTTTCGTTATTGTCGTTGTCTTCAGCACACAACCCTTTAAGATGAAGGGAGCTTTTCTTTTGTTCCACATGTGATGAAAATTTGTCTTCTATCGTGATTGGTCCAATTAAATTCTACCATAGAAAAATTAATTTATCACATGTATATCTTTTTCGCGAAAAACTCCAGTTCCGTAAATTACAAATATAGTTGTGATATGTTTTATCCAGAAATTCAAAAAATAGTTTTTGACAATAGAAAGATAAATAAATTTAATAGATAAAAATAACATTTTCTCAGTATTACAGTATGTATTGATTGATAGAACTTTTCAAAATATTAACACCTCGTGTGCTTTTACATGAGAATCCCTTTCTGATCGAATCATTTCGAACGGTAACGATACATGTTATCTTGTCATTACAAATCGATTTAAATCCACGGAAGAAATCCAATGCAAACCAGATATTAGTAAGTGGCATTCCCCACTACATCAAAAATAACAAACTTTAAAGTCAGAAAGCAGATAGTAAGTCATCAATAGAACAGAAATTCATTCTCACAGGTTTAACTTGCCACCATCTAAGTGGATATTCCTGATCAGTGACAACTGAAGTGATCTCGGTTAAAGGGATATATTTCGATGTTCCGATTGGAAAATAATACTTTTTGATGATTAAATGTTTGGTGGTAGCGCTAAAAAATATATCATCGTAAAGTAGAGATTCGCCGTCGGTATTATCGATAATGAAGGAACTTTTTAATGACATGATTAATTGAAGGGAAAATTCAGTTTATTGGTTTACAAGTTCACATTTACGTCATTGTGATAGGTATTACAATATCAGATCTCCATGAGGGGTTTACTATGTACCAGAAAAGGATGAGGAGTTATTCAGTTGTTATAGTTTTAATAAAGTATCAGAGGATTTATTTCGGTTCCTCGTACTACAATAGTTTTGGAAATCTTTCCAACAAGTTTTCCTTCAATTCGATTCTCTCGAATCATGGAACTCTTATTAAAAAACTTTAATTGAGTCTGTCTTTCATCAAATGCAGCGCTTCCAATACCTCGTTGTCTGATCATTCCTTTTAAATGTGCATTATGGTTTTCGCGTATAATTCTCATGTAAAATCCCAATTTCCCATCTTTCTCAGCATCTTCACTAAGATTATCATTATTTATCTCAACATCACCATTGCAATGATTATTATTTATTGAATTTAGTCGTGCAAGTTGTATGGTGGTAATTCCGGTGTTGGTAAATTTATTACTTCGCAAAGGAAGTGAAGGTGATGCTTCTTTACAGCATAGATTGATGAATTCGTTTAGCCATATTCCATGCGAAACTATTGCGATATTTTGAGCATTTTCTGAGTTGGATTTGAGATGCTTGTCCCATAATTCTATTAATATATCTTTTGCACGTTCAGCCACGTCATCGAGGCTTTCCCCGTCTTTTTGTTGGCGATTACGAATTGTTTCTGGTGTCCATGGTTGATTTTCAAGGGCACCTAAATGTTGCTCTCGAAGTCGTTCATCAATGTGTAATGCAGTCGCTAAATTGTGAATATTGTGCTTATATATCGTTTCTGCAGTCATACGTGCTCTTCGAAGATCACTTGAAATTATGCGTGAAAACTGTAAAACATATACTTGTTACTTTAAAGAAAAATGAAAAAAGAAACATATACATAATCAGCACCTTTTCATTTGCTAAAAATGTGGCACAACTGTCTGCTTGCTTAATAATATTGAAATTATTGTTAATTTAATATGTTCATTTATCAAGAAAAATGCACCAAATATACAAACTAGTTTTCCAAAATTAGTCAACGGAGCATCAGTCCAGCCTTGCCACAGACGTTTGACATTGCCAACACTTTCGCCACTAACAAAAAACCCACTTTAAACTTGGGTAACGAAGAACACATGTCTTCAACAAGAGCGACTTACTGTCTTATGAGATGTATATTCAACATGCGAGTCTTTTATTTCAGATAAAATTTGAAAATCAAAAAAAGTGTTTTACAAACATTATCTCTATGAGGTGTATCACGGGTAAGATTGTAGATTTTAATCTCCCAGTTCAATAATGAAAGATTTTTGCTTTAATCCAGAAAATGCACAAACTTACATGAAATCAAAGACTATCATCTAACTTGTTGAATCTATAAAATATATGATGAGATGAGGAATGCATATTCTCAACTATACTCAAACAAAAAAAACAAAAGTAATTCGATCTTAAGGGAAAAAGGATAGATAATAAAGGGATGTGATGTAATGTGAATGGAAATGAAAGAATCTCATATCTGAATAATAATGAAGCAAAAAGAAAAAGCCAAATTTTACAAATACACAATGTAATGTAATACAAGCTTTTACAAAAAGAAAAAAAGAATAAAAAGTTACAAAATCTGGAACCCGAACAATTCAAGCCTCAAAATAATAATAAAAACACTTTTATACACTGCTGGATTCAAGCAAGACAGATGATTCGATTTCATTATTGTTGACTTGTTGTGACGACTCTGATTGTTGCGAAGATGATTGTTGTTGTGGTTGATACATAATCTGATTATCAACTCGATTCTCTTCAGGTCTGTAATAAGTTTGTGATATTGGTGAAGATTGAAAATGATGTGGAGGATGCGGAAGTGCATGTGTTGGTTGGTAATGATTAGGATGATGTGGTGGTACCGGTGCCTAATATAGAATAAAATAAAAACATTAATAAAGATCCAGTGTTTTTTTTAGTTAGATTTAAATTATTCTTGGACTGGAATATCCAAGAAACAGGAATTTTTCCCTTTCTCCATTATAAGTATATTTACCCATATTACCTCCACGTATTGTTGTTGCTGTTGTTGATCAATGGGTAACATAGGTGACAGATTAGGATTGGCAACTATTCCGCCATTTTGTAAAGGGCGTGGCGTTGGTACAGAGCCAGGAACGTATCCTGTAGGAGTCGGACCAGTGCCATATGAAGGCATCAGAATAGGTTGTGGATGCCAGTAATGTCCCGGTGGGGGAGGCGGAAAGAATGCAGGTTGCGGGTTTTGCATATAATTAATATCCATCATTGGTGGCATAGGGCCCTGTAAGGATGATGTTGTTCCCGATGGAGAAGGAATTTGCCTTGATTATGATTTAAATAAATTACAAGTTGTGTAAAAAGCTAAATTTTAACATCAAGTTATAATAATTATAATCACCTTTCTTGGCCGTCAGCAATATTAGTAGCTTCAAGATTAAGAGGTTGAGCTAATAATGGTCCAGCCATAGGAGTATAAGCCAATTGAGGACTAGTTTTATGAAATTCGGAAAGCAGCTTTGCGCCAACAGCTGGCTCTACTTCAGTTCCATCTCGACTAATTTTCACTTCTCGATTAGCATTCCACGGGTTCCTAAGATGTCGAGTACGAACGAATGGAAGTTTTTGTCTGTTTGGATCAAAAAATCAAAAGTGTGATTATGAATATTATAATTTAAATTATTTGGATCAATCAAGTTAACACAGAAAGAATCAAATAAAAAATACAAACACTTTTATCCATTCAACTTTGAATGCTGTTCCCCAATTTCTAGAAGGTACACCATCTTCATCGCAATCCTCACTATCATCTTCGGGTCTTTTAGGCTTTGATTGTACTTCTTCCTGAACAGAAGGTCTCGAAGATGAAGCGGCTAGCGTAGCTTCATCAACAGGTGTCCATTGAATAGATTCGGTCGTTTCTTTGTTGATAGGACTCGCCATTCTAAATAAGCATAAAGAATGATTTTTTGCTATATTCGATAAATAGCTATGTTAACGAGAAATACCTGGCGTATCCATAAAATTCACCACTTTTATTTGCACTAAAGATAAGATAGACATTTTCCGCACTCTGCATTATCAGATAGATAGATAGATAGATAGATAGATTAATTAATTGTTTTCCAAATAGAATTATTTAATAGCATATATTATGAGCAACGTAAAATAATAAGGATACCTTAAAGGCTTTATTCAAAAAAGTCTCATTATGTGGTTGAGTGGCCCATACACCACTCTCAACAGAAATGTCCAAATCATCTTGGGTTAATGATTTCAAAATGAAATATCTATTTGGAGGTGAAGGCTTATTGGATGATACTGATGAAGCAGGAGACATTGACGCATGTGATGTTGGACCAAAGCGCTGTCTTGGTGGTGGTAAAGAAGATCTCTGTGATCTTGCCGAGGAAGTGGTCGATCCCGCTTCTGAAGGAGTAAGCAGAGGAGTATTCTGTGATGTGATAGCAGTTAATGCATCAATTTTATTTTTGAAGTCAGAAGGATTATTCTAATGAAATAAATAAGCAATAAGTCAATTTTATTGTTAAAAATATAGAAAACATAAAGTATAATTATCAAATAAAATCACCTTTCTCGGCCGGCACACCAACTTAATATCTTTGAATTCTATAATTCAAGAAAAAATTTATTCAATATTAGCATACCTTTATACCCCTGAGACAAAAGGTAGGCAAAAGATGAACTTACCTGCATCATTGTACTTTTTTTCGGCCTCCACAACTGCTTCATGAGTTTTATAGTTCACAAAGGCGCAATTTGATTTTTTAATGAGAAATACGCTCTATTATTAATAACATTATTATTCAAAATTCATAGAAGGTATAATTTTATCAAATTTCTTTGCTTGACACATAAAATGAGCATGAATAAATTTCAAATACCTCCATGCTTTCATCAGCAAAGAATTCTTGTAATTCCTCGTGAGTGGTTGAATCAGGCAAATTACCCACCCATAATGCCTTATCTAGTTGTTTTGGTTTCTTTTGATGTACTCTGGGAGAGTACTGTGGACCAAGAACAGGAGTAGGAATTCGAATTTGATCAAGAGAGCTTCGACGAGAAGAGAATCCGGAATCACCACCAGCGGCACTACCTGGATTTAGATACCTGTTTGTAGTGTTGTGTGGATGTGGATGTGGTGGTGTCATGAGAGTAGAAGGTGTAGGACTCTGGAATGGAGGAGGATGAAGCTGAGGCATGACAGGAAGAGTGGGATAAGGATAAACATTTGAGCGAACAAAAGCAGGCTGATTTGGTGGAGGTAAGGGAGGTGCAGAAATATGTGGAGGTCGAGGAAATCTTGGATCAAAGAAATACTGTGCACTTCCAGGGAAAAATTGAGGATTACCGGTATAATATTGAAAAGGTACAGATGGACCATTAAAGACCGGAGCTACCTCTTCATATGGAGTAGCTGAATTATTTGGACCACCACCATCACCATTAGCGTAGATTAATGTGGAATTAGAAGATGAAGAGGGTGTGGTGGTGGTATTGTTACTGTTAGCAGTAGTATTGCTTGCGCTGCTACTATTCGATGGTGATGGCTGTTGAGGGGGTTGTTGATTCGCGGGAGAAACAAGCGAATTTCGAGAATTTGAATTTTTTGTCATTCGTTGCTGTTGATTTTGAGAATTATTACTATTAGATGAAATACTATTACTATTGCTGGTACTATTGGCAGTGATATTATAATTATTAGTACGTGCTGCAGATACACCTTCCTGATGATTTTCTTGATCAGATATTATAATGTTGTTCCCTTTAATTAAATTTGCCCCACTAATATCTTCAGATGAACAATTATTATTGTCCTCTAAAGATGAAATAATGTCTTTAGTATCAATTGGTGTACTATTATTATTGTCATTTTGACTAGTGTTGCTACTAACAATAATAGGCTTTGAAATGTCTTTTTCACTACTACTAATGTCCCGTTGCAGCTGCTGTTGTAGCTGCCGTCTACCCTTTCCCTCTTGACTCGAGTCAGCTTTCGAACTTGCAATTGTAGTTTTGTTAATTATTGTTATGCTCTCACGTGTCGTCTCCTTATATGAAGTTGTTATTCCTTTTTGTGAATGACTTGACATTGAAGTATTGGCATTGGTGTTGATAGTTGTACTATTGTTACTAATGCTATTATGTTCCTCATGAGACATTTTGTTTTTTATGATAGATGTTGAGGTGGGTGAAGATGCGTGTGATTGTTCTTTTACTACTATTTTTAAAAGTTGTTCTTGCTCGTGTAGTGGTGAATAATGGAAACAGCAGTGAATTGTTGTTATTTTTCTTCTGGTTCGTGTGGAGTACTTAGTTATGTGGTTATTTGCAAAAAAAAGGGCGCTATTATGTTTTCGTCGTTGTCGTTGTTCAATAAGAATCAAATAAAAAAATGTTATTAAATTGGTTAGAGCCAAAGTTAAGCGAATAAGATTTGGTATTTAGTATTTTGCCGAAGAATTTTTATACTCGAAATCGGTTATTTGATTCGTTCAAATTCATAAAAAGTAAAAATGCGAAGAGAGTAATAGACTATTTTTACAACTGATAATATGTACTGTGTATCTCATTGATAAATAGATAGATAGATAGATAATGAATGGATATATATACACGAAAAATTAAAGTAGTCTCGTTCAACTTACCCGCTCGAAAAAAGTTTTTGGTATTGGTATTGGTATTGGTATAGGTATAGTTATAGTAGTAGAAGCGACAACGTCAAACTATATTCAATGTAGAATGTAGAATGGATTTTGTGGTTTTCTCTTTTCTCGCCTGGAAGTGTAAGGAGTATAGTTATTATGTACAAATTTGAATGGTTATTTCTTCAGATTGAGATTGTATAAGAGTCTTGAGTGTAGGTGTGTGTGTAGTTTTTTTTAGTATAAAATAAAAAAATAAGAGTTCATATGTGTTAGTCACGAATGAGAACGAGAAAGAGTATAAAATTAAGATTCGAAAATAGTTTTTATAAAGTGGTTGATAATGATGACGATTTTGATTGTTTAAAAAATAGTTGTGTATCCGTTTGTGAATGAGTGATCTGATACTTTGCTGCGGCTGCCTCTTGATTTAGTGAGCGATTGCATTGGCCAAGTAAAACATGCAACATTTATTATTAGTATTATGTGCATAGTCCGAAAAAATAAGTGAAGGTATGATAAATTTACTATATTTCTATTTTGGTTAAAAATTGCAATGTTTATCTGTATTTGGAAGTTGATGTGCATTACTAGCCAACGAAAGCAAAGATGGATTTTCTTCCTTTGTTAATGATATTGGATTCAGCAACATACTTTGGGCTTTGACGGTCTGGGATTTGGAATTGAATGAGGTTTTAGAAGTAGAGAAGTCCAAAGTTCAAACTAGACAAATTATGTTTGGACTGTTATAATGACAAACTCTGATCAAAGCTTAAACTTTAATTCCAAACTGGAAAATGCTCTCAATCTTAATCACAACTTGCAATTTATTGAATTTCAACAAATAACATGTTATTATATTAACTAATCATTACCAAATTTTGGAAGATTTGTTCATTTTGATCATTTTGAAATTGAACAATCACATTTTTTAGTCTTAATTTTTTTTATTAAAGTTATTGTTTTTTGATTTCTATTTTTTTTGAAAAATAAGTAATTTTAGATAATTCAAATTTACAAATAAGTTTTTTGATTTTTATTTTTAGCATTTCAAAATTTTGATCATAATTAAATTTATCAAAAAGTAATATTTCTAATTTTAAATTAATATTTTAAATTAATCACACTGAAAAAGTAGTAGAAATTGAAATTTTCTATAAAAAATTAATTTATGGAACTCGTAATCTAATCACGTGACAATTTATTGTATCATGCGGAAAATTTTTCTGACATAATAATCAATCAAGTTTATAGCTCCGAAATTTAATTTGATTGACCAATCAATTTTTTCGGAGAATCGAGCACATCTCATTTTTTGACTATCGTATCAAAATAACGTCATTCCAATATGAATAAAAATGACTACTCTGCCATCCTCTTCGTTTCCAATAAAAACAAATCAAACAGCACGTATAATAAACAACGTACACACCGAAGTACTAGTGACTGGGTTTAATGACCGTATTTTCGTAATACTAACTCAGTATGGAAAAGTCGGGAGTTTGGTATATATATATATATATATAGATTGAAGAATTCTTGTATCTAATTAATTAATTAACTAAAATATTATCCAGTTGCACACAACGCTAGATTCCCCCTCACCAACTACCTTTCTCTCGGCTGCCTCCTCATCAACAACTACATTATTACCTTCAACAACAACAAAGTTTTTATTAGGGTATTATTCACTAAAATACCAAATTTATGCTTCACTCATTTCTTCGTTGATTGCACAAGATAATCCAAGAGAGACACGAAATGTTATTGTTGGATTGGCATTGTTAAAAATGCCGAACAAGAATAAAGAATCATCAAGTGAGCATAATATAAATACGAATAGTGATGGTGGTAGAGGACATCATGATGATGATGATGATGATGATACATTTGATGAAGAACTCTTTCACGAGGTTTCTGCCATGATTCGAGAATGTCGTGTTTGGTAGTTAGTCAATCTATAAAATACTAGAGATTGTGATTGTGTATTACTTATTTTCAATGTACAAAATCAATAGACTATTGAATTGACGAACTTTCAAATTCTTGAATAAAGCAAATACCGAAAGATCCAAAGTAAATAATGCCAGTGATAAGTGATGAATCAAATTATTTTTTCCTCGATAAAAATTAGGAGAGGATATATTATAATTGAAATTGTGACACAATAAATAAATAATTTATCTATCACGTCCTTTCATCATCAGCAGCAACAGCAGAAAACAAAAGCTAACAATAAAAGAGAAATATTACCAAAGCAGCAATAACTATCACTTTTCTACAGAGCGTGAAGAAATAAATGCTCGACATGAAAGAAATATTAAAATAACAACGATGATGAGTGTGAATATCATCAAAAATAGTATCAAACATATTTTTGACATTCTCTATTCACAGCATTACTTCCTCTGCCGTTGCACGAGTGTTATTATTGATGCCAGAGGGACCAGTATTATTATTGTTTTTACTACATTCCTTATGATTGTCACTATAAGCGCATTCGCTCTTGCCCTCTTGAATACCACCATCTCGATGAATTTCTCCACATGGACATTGCCCTGCTTCCTCTGTTGAACCGTAATCGCTAGACCCTTCTTCTAGATCATCACCGGTAAGGGAAGATACTGGAGTACCAGGTCTTTGACTAGAAGACGAGGATTCATAGGATTCAACTTTTTGTTTGAGAACAGTTCTTTCGGCCTAAATTAAATAAATTCAATCAAACCTATTATTGGTATTTATTTGCTAAATAAACAAAAACAAAAATACCTGCAAAGCTCTACATAGATTCTCCAATTTTGTCTGCTTTTTCTTTGCTTCTTCTATGGCTTTTTGATCTCGTGCTCTCTGAAAAGACCGGGAAACAGATTAAAAATAAATGAACACACACATATATACATACATACACATCCACCGACACAATATCAAAATAGATTCAAAAGGAAAAATTTCTGACCTCTTCCGCCATTTCAAATATATTTTTATTCATTGTATCGCATTTGTTTTTAATGGAGGCATTTTCCTTTTCCAATTTTTTCGTTTTTTTCGTCATTTGTTCCATTTCTTTACGAAAAGTAAGGAATAATTCATTGCTTTTATTTAAAGTCTCTTCAACGGCCTTGAATTTGTCAACATATACATTTAACTGTTTACGCAATTCGGTCTCTGTTTTGGTAAAGGAATCCACTTGATCTTTCAATGAATTTGCCTAAAAAGTAAAGGCAATAAGTTTCAATAATTATTAATATAGACTTTAGCGATTTACATACTTTAGCTATCTCTTCTTCTGTAATTTGACGTTGTTGCTGCATCTTGGCTTCATAAAGCTGAAGTTCAAGATCTTTCGATCTAACAACGCAGTTGAAATGCTTTTCTCGAAGTTCATATTGTTCCAAAAAGCTTCGAAATTTATCTTTCAGCCTGATAATTAATAATTATTATGTAAGAGAATTAAAGGGAGATGTTAATAATATTTCATCATACATACAGTTCGTTGTCCTCAGCACGCTTTTTCTTTTCGTCCGTATCTTCATCCATCTTTGATTTGATTTCCCAGATAGTACTTTCGAATTTGCTTGATAGCTCTTCACGCTTTTGCTGTTCAGTCGAAGCTAAGCGTTTACTTTCTTCCTGTAATGAAAAAGATTTTAATAAACGTTGTGGAAATATATGTAATGCATTTTTACTTTGTAGCTCACCTTGGTCCTCTTATTTTCTTTTTGAAGTTCTCGACATAAATTTTCCAATTTATGTTTCATCGAATTGGCTTTTGATAGGTCGCTTTTAACTAGAAATATCGAGAACATCAGTATATAGCATTTAGTCACGTAAACTTTTTAATGAATATAAAAATAATTTACCAGCATCCTTCTCTTTTTGTAACTGTTCATTACGTTTCTTCATTTTAGCATGATCCCGTTCGAGACGTTTCATGTCTTGAAACTGATTTCAGACAAAGATCAAAATTACTAATTGGATCTTCTATTCTGAAACTTGAATAACAAGTAGATTTACCAGTTCCATGTATCTTTGCTGAATAGTATCCAATTTATCAAATTGATCGTCTTGCGAATTGATGATATCTTTCATTTCTTTGCTCGCCTTTTTGACAGCTTTTGCTAATAAATTCAAAGTTTGCAATTGATTTCAGAATATATTCTACAACGTAGGCATGTGTGTTGATAAATCCGAGAAAGGGAACAATAAAGAGGAAAATAAAAGTGGGGTAACTTAAAAGAAAATGCTGATTGAGTATTAAACAAAAAAAATGTACCGATAGCTTTTTCTTCTTCATCTTCAATCGACGATTCAGTTTCGAGTTGTGAGATCTTGTTTTGAATCATGTTATTGAGCTCTTGAGGATCTAGTGTTCTTTTTTTGGAAGACGCGCCGCTGTTTCGCTTGACAACAGTAGGGGATGCAGGGGGAGTAGTAGGAATTTTTGGAGGAACATTTGGCCCACCATTGTTTATTTTCTCGTTGTTTGAAACGTCAACTTGGACTTCTTGTTGAGTGGTTGTTGCTTCGGTGGCAGGCATTATCGTTAATTTCTTTGATCAATAATTAAATTAAAAAATTTTACACTATTTTTCCAAGGCCTATCTCTATATATATACAATTGGTAATTTATGTGATAATTTTGTTGAATGAATCCAGGTGATTCATAATGATATCCTGAGATTCACCGATTACTGCGTATAAGGTTTTTTTTGTTATGATTTATTGTCACGCAATCAATATTTAACACAAGTTGTTATTTTCAAAAAAAAGAAAAACCAATATGGCAAATTGATTTGATAATTTTTCTTTCAATATCACACAATAAATATGTCACTAACTGACCATCAACCAGGGCAATGGTTTTTAACGACGGTTTCTATACCTCCCGTTTAAGACTCTTCCTCTATCCCTTCTATTATTTCCATCATCATCATCATTATTATTACTATTAGTATTAGTGTTAGTGTTAATGTTAGTGTTAGCATTAGCGCTATTACTATTATTATTATTATTACTACTTCTTCCTCCAATTGCCTTTCTATTAAGTGAACTAGGATGTAACTGAAAAATATTACCCTCGTCCTCATCATCAGTATCGCTACGAGGGATTGCAAGGATACGAGGACGACTTGATTGAGAAATGGTTTCTGATGCATCATCATCATCCGAAGAGTCTGACGATTCAGAAGTCGAAGTCGAATTCGAATTATGATCTGTCTCCCATTCTCCAGTACTTGCGATTTCATTTTCTGTATTTTCTGTATTTTCTGTCTCAGATTCGGACACTTGGTCGTCATTTTCGTCTGATCGAGTATGTGGTGTCAGAAGAGACCATGTAGGATTTGAAGATGGATCATAAAGTCGTCTTGAATTTATTTCTTCACTAACTTCATCTTCGTCTTCGTCATCATCCGAACTTTGTATTGTTAGTCGCATATTTCGGCGACGTTGAATTGGCAGAGGACTTGGATCAGTGCTGTCGTCGTCACTTTCTCTGGACACACGCACAGGACTAATGCTCATTTGTGTAAATCTTCTAGTTGGAACTTCCGAATTCGATGACATTGTCATCAAAATATTCAAGATAGTATGCTCTCTCGTCCCTCCTGATTCACTTGAATGTGTCGAGTCACTCGAATGTGTTGAATGATTTGATTCACTATCATGCCCTTCAAATACGTGATGTTCATTATGTTCATGAACGATTACATCATCTACAGCACCATTTTGACTTTCACTGGTGTAAGAATCGTCTGATAAAATCTCATCAGTTGTTCTTCGATCAATAAAAGGATCATCCAAATCATAATCCCAATTATCTCTAGTACCGTCAGCCACCATCATCTCATCAAAATCTTCTTCACTGTCTGTATCTTCTTCACCACCAACACCACCACCACCATCTCCATCTCCATCTACAAGAAATCGTGAACCACAATTACTGCAACGTGATCCAACAACTAATAATTTGATAATATGAATTTCTAATAAATTTCTTGAAAGAATTTAATTCATCATTGTTTGTTAATACTTGCCTTCCCATGAGCATCTGGAACAACGTCTAAAATCATATTTGAAATTTTTTAGTGTCAATAAAATTAAAAAAGGCACAAAAAAGATAAATTGAGAAATCATACCTTACACCATCCGACGTATCTAATATCACAGGAACTTGTTCAATGATTATATTCTCCCAAGCATTTTCAAGACTGTTAAAAATCTCTTCCTTGACTTTTAATCGTTGTTTGGCAATTTGTTTTTCATCAGGTGGTAATCTTTCAACATAGGTTTCAACTTGTTCTTTAACAACAAATGATAAGGCTGGTCGTTGCGTGATTTTCATTCGGCAAGTTGGACACTCCCGCCTTATTTTAAGCTTCGATAGACATCGAAGAATATAAATCAAAATAATTAGACTGTGATAATAGTAATTTATTATTTCAGAAAATATAGTAAACAAACCCAATCCCTCAAACATTCATAGCAGAAAGTATGACCGCAAGAAACAGTACATGGATTTGACATAAACTCGACACAAATAACACAGGTAAGGCCTAAAAAACCAAGTGACAATATTAATATTCAAACTAAATAAAATCATTAAAAATATAAATTTTACCAGGCTTGAGTTGTTTGCTTTCAGCTTGCAAGGATTCAATAACTTGATCTTTGAAAGCAACTTCAGCATTAAGCCGAGAAATTTCTTTTTTCAACGCAGCAATTTCATCCAAAGCTGTTTTCAAAGCCGCTACCTTGCTCGACTCTAGCTTGTTTTCTTTTGAAGACAACGATTTATGAGTAGAAGGAAACTTGTTTGATCCGCTGTCCGTCGGTTCGTCATTATCTGAATTAGTATGTTTTTTATTTTCATTGACGACAAAAGCATCAATAGCAGGTTTGTGACAGTGCATAGATCGAAAACGTTTGCGCTTGTGCTCATGAGAGCTGTTTGTATTATTATTACTGGTTATTTTTTCCAAAGAATTAGCAGTCGTAGATGATGACGCTATCGTCTTCTCAGCAGCAGCAGCTTCTTCTTCCTCGTCTTCATAGACGATTCGTCGCTTTGCCTTTAGTTTTTTATCACGCGCCATATTCGTTGAGGTCAAACAAATTTCAATTACAATAACTATTTTCGAATAAATGTTTGTACTACAAAGCTTTGTTATACAATAAAATTAAATCTATAACGATAACGATAATGATAACGATAACAATAACACTAAATCACTGAATCATGTGATAGTAACGCAAAAAGTAATAGTATATAAATGCACCTTTTTTGATCTCGAATAAATTTTAGTTTCCCCTAAAATACTGTTCTCTCACTATACTTCCTCTTTCTAGTTTGATCAAGAGAATTATCAAGTAATAAAGTCAAAAAAAGCAACAATAATAACCTCCCCTCTTTGAGTTTTCTTGTAAAAGTTCAAAATGGCTCGTAAATTTTTTGTTGGAGGTATGTATTATATATATAATATATATTGACTCGATCGATAAATTAAATTATGATTTATATTTAGGAAATTTTAAGATGAACGGCACAAAATTACCCCTGCAAACTTTGATAAATAATTTAAATGCAGGACAATTAAAGTCGAATGTTGGTTGGTTGAAGTCCAATTATCAACACTAAATGATGATTTTTGTTCAGAGAAGGATTCTAATTATTGAATTTGATGTGATTTAATTAAATTAAATTAAATTATTTAGAAGTAGTTATTGCACCGCCAGCAATTTACCTCGATCAAGTTCGTCAATCTGTTCGTAAGGATATTGGAGTTTCCGCACAAAATGCTTTTAATGCAACGAGTGGTGCTTATACCGGAGAAATCAGGTCAGTCTGAAAATAAAGATAATTAAATTTTTTATTAAATTGGATTAATTAGACAACTTTTATTAATTGATAACATGGCAGTCCTGAACAATTGAAAGATATTGGTATTGATTGGGTGATATTAGGTCATTCGGAACGAAGAGAAATCTTTAAAGAATCCGACGAGGTAAAAAAAAATAAACTTTATCGATTAGATTTTTGTTTTTTATTCTAGCATTTAATTTTCTATCTATATAAAAGTTTATAGCATCAAAAGTAGCCCATGCGTTAAAAGTAGGCGTGAAAGTTATTGCTTGTATCGGTGAAAAACTTGAAGAACGCGAATCTGGCAAAACTTTTGATGTAATAACACGACAACTGGCAGCAATTGCTAAAGAAATTTCTGATTGGTCGAATGTTGTAATTGCTTATGAGCCAGTATGGGCTATTGGGACTGGTAAGGTTGCCACGCCTGAACAGGTACCTATTCTCACAGTTTTAGTTTTACTTTTCGTTTTTTTCAATTATTTATCATTTTTGTATCAAAGGCGCAAGAAGTTCACGCTTATATTCGTAAATGGTTAAAAGAAAACGTGTCTGAACAAGTAGCCGAAAATACGCGCATTATTTATGGAGGTAAGGGAACAACCTAGAATATTACTTGCATCATCAAAAGATTTTAAATTTAAATTATGCAGGTTCCGTGAATGGTGCTAACTGTGCTGGGCTTGGTAAGCTTTTTTTATGTTTGAAGTTTCATCAAGGTGATAATTATTTTTTTAAATGCACATTAACATCAATATATTATTCTTATGCCCCAAATTAGCCAAGCAACCAGATATTGATGGGTTCCTTGTCGGCGGTGCATCGTTGAAACCAGAGTTTGTAACAATAGTGAATTCGCATGTTTAAATCTTTTGGCAATCTCAAATTCTTCAAGTTGTTTGAGGAAAATGCCTTATAATTTATTCTAGATTTACCATATCTATCATAATTCCTTTGAATAATAAAATTATATACTATCTACTCCAAATAGTTTTGATTTAACAATTTGGGAAATCAATTAGCAAATGTCGATCATCCTTGTTGACATGAATGATCGGCGCATAGTACGAGATAAATATAAAGAGAACAGAAATCATCCGGTAGTTCTTTTTTGTTGTATGAGAAGATATCAATATCGTCGTGATAGTTATTTTTCTTCTTATTCTTATTGTATATGTGGTGATGTCGATGATAATTTTTAAGGAGTGGCTCTCTTATTTTGAAAGTTTAAATGTTGAAAAGTCTCTTAATATTAAAATATAAAATACGATACTAAAATATGATAATTAAGATGTGGCAAGAATTATGTATCCGAAAATATGTAAATATGTAATTTTGACTCGTTGATAGAACAGGAAAAAACAGAATTATTATAGTAAGAGCAACCGCCAGTTTCTTCTTCTTTCTTCTTAAAACTAAGAAAAGGGAAGGAGAAAAGAAAGACAAAAATTGACGACTAAGTGACGGATGGATAAGCTAAATGGATGAATAGAAGAACCTGGTCTGGATTATATTTTGAATTAATTAGCAACCTGGCAAATAATAGTAAATGTGATGTCTCTTTTTTAATAAACCGCGAGCCTGCGCGTTATTTCTAAGGCCAACAGAAAAAAACATGACAGAACATGATGTGATTGCGTGTGTTCTAATAACGATAAGGGTCAAATTTTTTTTTAATAATAGCGATAGTAATAGAAAACGTGTAATACAAAAATATCATTATTTCTCAATCCCATATATAATACAAGAAAAGGATAAGAATTTTAAAATATGGTAAAATAAATGCCCAAATTTGAAGCAAATATATTACAAAGGGTGGAAAATGGTGAAATCAAGCAAAAAAAAAGCTTTCCTAAAATCTTTATGATAAAATGAATTATCGATATCGATATCTGCTATTTAATTACCAAGTTCGTAATCTGCCTATAATAGGTGATGATGCTGATGAATCAACATCTGTAGTTGTATTATTGTTATTATTCTTACTACTGCTACTGCTACTACTACTACTATTGCTATTGCTATTGTTATTGTTATTGCTACTATTGTTATTAGTAGAATTTATTTGATGCGATGATGATTGTGGTGACGGCGATGAATGAGCAGGATGTGAAGAATCACGACCAACTTCGGCTTGTAATGCTGCAGCAGCCAACATATCTAAAGTAGGATTCGTTACATATTGAATCGATGAAGAATTATTATTTCTATTATTATTATTATTATTATTATTATTATTATTATTATTATTATTATTATTATTATTCGAATTATTATAATTATTTTGATGATTTTGATGATGAATTCCTTGAGATTGAGGCTGTTGCTGTGAATTTACTTGGGAAAGTGGTGGATGATGATATGTAGTGGTAGTTGTGGTTGCTGTAGTGGTAGGAAGATAACTTGGAAATTGGTGTGTTGTTGTTGGAGTGGTGGGCGATGACGATGTTTGGTGAAAAAATTGAGGATGATGGAATGAGGCTTGTAAGTGAGTTGGTGTTGGTGGCGATGGCGTGGAAGATTGAAACATGGGTAAAATTGTGTAAGGGGATCCAACAGCTGTTGCAAATTGTGCAGCACTCATATAAGTTGTAGCAACTGGCAAGTAACTTTGTGTGGATAATTGTAATTGCCCATGTTGTTGTAAATGTGGGTGTGAATGATGTTCTTTTTCAGATGGTGTGTTGTCATTATTGTCATTATGAACATTCCCATTACTATTTCCATTGCTATTATTATGATTATGGTGATTATGATTATGATTAATTATAGGTTGACGAGAATCTTCTGAAATTGGAGGAGTAAGAATTGCTTGAGAATTGATAGCACCTTGAACAACATTATTATTTGGAAACATTGTTAAATTATAGTAAATCGCACTTGTACCAACGGCTGGTATCGTCATTGGCACTAATTCAGGACTATAACCACTAAGTTGGGTCATTCCTCCACCTCCATGATTCATCTGTGATGAAGCTGTAGTTGTCATATTAGTGATTGTTGTTGGCGTTTGAGGGTTGTTTTTTGCTTTTTGACGTTGATTTTGAAACCAAATTTGAACAGTACGTGGATGCATATTTAAAGCATTCGCAAGAGCTTCACGCATTTCAGTCGAAGGAAATGATGTAACAGCCAATACTTTACGTAAAACTCTTGATTGATAAGGAGAAGTCACATTACGAGATCTTTTTCTTCTTGCGTTTGATAATAATTCTTGATTCTTTGGATTCTCTTCATGTACAGGGAAAACCATTGTAGTATCAGTGACTTGTTCAACAATTTTCATATCCATGTCTGGATTATGTTGTAACTGTTGACCTTGTTCATTATTGTTATTGCCATGATGATGATGATTGTTGTTGTTATTGTTATTCAAAGAATGGTGTTGGTGATGATGATGATGATGGTGGTGGTGGTGGTGATTATTTGATGTCGATTCCGTTGGAGACGGTGGCCAAACACGCGTAGCGAATAAATCATCTGGTGGCTCACCGGACTCTTTTAGAATATGCTTTAAAAGGACGACTTCAGCTTGAGTGAAACTCCTATTGACACTATAACTAGACCTGTAACCAGGAGTCGGGTCTGGATATTTTGGCTTTCTACCGCGACGTTTTTGTTGTCTAGTTGATGTTGAATCATCATCTTCAACTGGATTCGCGTTAGAATTATTAGATATTGATGAAAATGCATTATTATCGATGTTATTAGATTCACAATTCAACACATATTCTAAATTTTGGTCTCGAGGTGAAGAATTTTGAGAATTTGTTCTACTTGCTGTTAATGAATCGGTATTGTCAAATAAAGACATTATTAGTATCGTCGTTGTCGTTATGATTATCGCTAGATGATAATATCTTAATACGAATTTTAAAAGTACTCCTCGCTGTTTCTATTGCTATTTTGGAGCTCTAATTTATTTTTTAGTCGTGAAAAGATTTTTTTTAGAAAAAAAGAGAGCAAGAAAAAAAATATTAAAAAGGAATAGTTAGGGAAGGAAATCCTTAACTAGAGGTTATATTGCACAAAGTTTATGAAAAATTAAAGACAGGAGGACAAAAACTACTAGCAACACTAACACTAAAATATGTTAATGGTTATTAAATGCAAGAAACCGGTTTAATAATAAAGAAGAAAACAAAAAAAAAATGGTGAACAAAAAAAAAACACTGCACTGCAAAGCACGCGAAAATTAAAAGACGAGCAAAATAATAACCCTGACAATTCAACTCTATCGAAAAGTGGAATAGCCAGTTATTCAGTGGTCTTTTTTTGTGTTATTTTTTATTTTAATATGATACTTTTAATAATTATTTTTAATTATTGATGAAAAAGAATTGGAGCCAGAAAAATTAACACCTTTTCTTCCCTTTACGTGAACTATATATTTGTGTATGTGTTATTTATTAATATCACCTGATATGGTACCATAATGTTTCATAGAAGTTTTAAATTGATTAAAAGATCTACCGTAAATCTGTTAACGACAAACAAACAAAAAGAAAACAACTAATGATAATTCTTTTTTTATTGTATTATATAGCTAACTAACAGTTATGAGCTATGATTATAAATTGCATTTTATAATTATGTAATGCAACTAACCATTCTATATAACAACGGTGATTTTCCCTTGAGAATCAAAAAATTAATTACCATTTATCATTCATAAAATGCATAATAATAGTGTAAGGAACCTTATTATTTATATGCATGTAAATTTGATAAAAATCATGTACGTATAGAATAATGATGATGATGACGATAGTAATAACAACAAGCTAGCGTTTTTGAATCACAGGTCGAGAAGGTCGATATTTTTGAAAGAAAGGACGAGCGAGCAAAAATAAAAACATGCATTTCAAGCACTATCGTTATGTACATGTACGTATGTATTATACGGATGCATGCATGCAATCAATCTAGTAAAAATTTAAAAAATCCAACCTATCTCTTTTGCATCCACTGTTATGTACATTATTGTTATGATATCAATTTAAGATTCTGTGGTAAAATAATCATATACTTAAATATTGTGTAAATTCTCGGAGAATGCTCTTTTATTGATAACAACAAATATTTCTGCTTATCATTATAAACACAAAGACATATCATATCATATATATTTAAATTAAATTAAATTAAATTAGGTAATAGACTTTCAATTCAAGATTTCGTTAAATTAATGCAAAAAATAAAAATTTGGTGATATTCTTTATAGAAAACTTTTGATTTGTATTCCTTTGTGAACAAGTAAAAGTAAGTTAATTAATTAATTACTTTGTTATCATTGCTGTTATTGCTATTGTTGTGTCTGCTAACTTAGACATCTCGGAGGACATTTCATGCCTAGTAAAGTAGTAGTGAGCACCTTTGAATATACTGTTGGCGCAACAATAACAATATTATTTTTTTTTATACGTATACCTATCATTAAGGATTAGATTATTGATGCATAAACTGGTTGATGAAATTCTTTTATATACAACCCGCCGAAAAAAATAATAAAATTTCTTTTATATTTCAAACAACCCGCCGAAAAAATAATAAAGTTAACAGTAAATAGATCTTTATTCCGTGTTTCAATTTTTCGGATATTATTTTTTATTTGATTTATTTAACTTCAACGAGGACGAAGAATAAAGAAGCACATAACAACTCTAGGTTTACTTTTCATAAAAAAAAAATAAGCAAATAAAATTTATTTTGTATTATCCACATACTGTACCGATTACACTATTTTATATTTGCATAATTAAACACAGAAAGGATCAGAGCTTCCGATTAAAAGTAATTAGTTTTAATTCAATGAAATAAATTTCCGAGTTTTATTGCGTGCATGTTTCTCAGATCTAAAAAATCGTTCACTCCATCACAACGGCAGGAAATTCTATGTCACATTTTCAATATTCCATATCTTCTTTTACTTTTACTTTTCTTTTTCTTTTTCTCTTTCTCTTTCTCTACATAAATTGGTCCCATGTGTACCACGTGTATGTAATCAATATGAATGATTCTCCGTCGGGATATACGATTATCATCAATATGGCGTGTGCGCGAAACTTTAAAAATAATGTTGCACGTGAATCGCGTATTGCTTCAATTATGGCTCGCTTTAGCATGATAAAAAAAGGAATAAGATTTCCAAAAAAATTCGGTTACTCATAATTAATATCGTGGAAAAGTTGGTTATTTGGACTTCTAGTTAATTAATTTCTACTCGACTTGTTACACATATAGCGGACTCAATATAACGGATACGGATAACGAATTTTCTAATAAAACGGAGGTGTCCGTTATATCAAGTTTAGTGGACTTGGATGTATAATTTATCTTCCATATACAGTCAAAACTCGATATAATGGTATGGTCGGGAACATTAGTAAAAATTCTGCAAATATTATGTCGTGAATTTATTAAAAAAAATCATTCTATCGAAGGAATCATTTATATCGAGTATTATTATATCGAGCTTTGACTGTAATAAATTGCAGATTTTCGAGACACACGCACTTGTCATTCCATTCTATTGGGGTGAGATACTCTATGTAGATCAAATCTATTTGAGATATAATAATAAATTTTGTTAGTACAGGTTTTAAAAGCTTAAAACTTTTCAAGAAAAAGAGATATCATTCTCAAAATAG